ATAAATCTTTAAGAGAATTTTGTTTTTGTTTTTTAATTTTAAGTCAGAGGCATTTAAGTGAAGGCTCGACACTATTTTTTCCATTACTAAGAAATTCAGAAAGGTTAAACAGTTCACCCAGGCTACAGAGTTAGCAGTCATGATAAACTTGGAATTTTTTTAAATCTAAGATATTCTATTAAAAGGGGGCTGGAGAGATGATTCTGAGTTAAGAGGGCTCGCTATACAACCATGAGGACTGAGCTTGGATCCCAGCATGCACTTAAGGTAGCTGTGATCTCATAGGTGCCTTTAACCTCAGTGTTGTGGGACGGAGAACTCGGAAGATCACCAGGGCTTCCGAGCTGACAGCCCTTCAGGTTCAGGGAGAGATCCTGCCTGTCTTAGGTTCTTTTCATGCTGCTGTCTGTGACCAGACACTCTTGACAAAAATACCTTAAGGGAGAAAGGGTCTGTTCTGGCTCACAGTTCAGGGGTACAGTCCGACGAAGCAGCTGGTCTCGCTGCACACACAATCAGGAACAGAGAGCAGTGAATGGACCCAGTGCTTAGCTTAGGTTCTCCATTTTATACAGTCTAGGACTTCCTCCTGAGGAATGGCCCTACACACAGTTAACCTAAGCAAGATAACCCCCCACAAGCATGCTCAGAGGCCTCTCTCCTAGGTGAGTCTAGGTCCTGTCAAATTGGCATTAACCCTTACACTGCCTCAAGGGAGTAAGGCCAGAGAACAGTAGAAGAGGAGGGAAGCTCCTCCTGCCTCGTGCACATGTATATGCACAGGCACACACACACATAGTTTACAAAAAAAAAAAAAAAAGCTTGGCACTGGTGGCACACGCCTTTAATCTCAGCACTTGGGAGGCAGAGGCAGGCGGATCTCTGTGAGTTTGAGGCCAGCCTGGTCTACAGAGTGAGTTCCAGGACCCCCAGAGCTTCACAGAGAAACCCTGTCTCGAAAAGAGAAAAAGAAAAAGAAAAGAAAACTTATGACCAAGAGAGGAACGAATTTGAAAATTCCTAAGGAGAACAAGGCAGAATGCCTCAGGGCAGCCGAGGGCTTGCAGGGGACCAGTTGAATCTTGAAACTGATTTCCATAGTGGTATCAGTCTCTGCCTTTGGTGTGACGTGTTGGGTGGCACTGAGCAGTTCTGCAGGGTAAGGCGGTAGGAGAATAGAAGACTAACTGGGCAGGATTTGCCACCGTGATCGGACAGCAAAACCACACCGGAGACAAGGGAACTGGAAGTGTTCCAGCGAGGGGAGCGGTGAACGGGGTGAGCCTGTGGGTGGGAAAAGGGGAGCTGCAGATCCAGGGACAGAGTTATCAGCTACCAGAGAGTGATCAGACTGAGGGGCAGGCGTGCGGCCATCGAGGGAGACGATGGGTACGCTGTCACAGAGGTGGGGTACAGGTCTCTAAGATGAAGAACTCAGGGAATCAGGAGGGGAGGGGATGGGCATTCGGGGTAGCACGGCTCCACATAGCCTGTGATGTGGGTAGTAGAAGAGCTGCCTTGTGAAGAGAATGGAAGCTGCTGGGTCTGTTCTCTCACCCCCCCATCCCACGTCTCCAGATTGATGTGCACCTCCGCGATGCCCTGGGTCGGCCCCATCAATGTGGAACAATCCAGCTTGACTTCCAACTGCCGCGGAGATTTGATCTGCAGTACAAGGGGTATAGAACCCTGCCTCAGCCCTTTCTTTCTGCCTTGGCCCACTCCCCTCACTAGTCCAGCCCTCCACCCCTACCTCATCAGAGCTGTTTCTTGATAACTGGAAGGTGATTTAGGGGGCTCAGTTTGTGGCACGTCCACCATTCCGCTCACTCCCTTTTTCCTTCCAAGGCAGGCAGGTTCCCTGGAGCATCCGGTCCTTATTCACCGAGCAGTGCTTGGCTCTGTGGAAAGGATGTTGGGAGTGCTGGCAGAAAGCTGTGGGGGGAAGTGGTGAGTCATTGACCTCAGAGTTCTGTCCTCTCCAGCCACATAGTGCATGCCTTAGGTTCTGACCTTCTTATCCTGTTCCTTCTCAGATCTCCGTGCAGCTACACCTGATGGCTAACGCCAAATGCGTGATTTCCTTCCCTGTTTCTTCCCAACAGGCCCCTGTGGCTGTCCCCGGTCCAGGTGGTGGTCATCCCTGTAGGGACAGAGCAAGAGGAATATGCAAGGCAGGTGAGTTGGGGCAAGGGCATCTGACACCCGTCCTTGGGCAGGAGAGGCTCTGCAGGACAGTGGGCAGTGCCTGAGGGGCAGCTGTCCTGTGTGCTGAACATTCTGTGTCTCAGAACCGAAATCAATTCCTGCCTTATAGAGATGCATGAAAAGCAGATTAAGAGATGTTGAACATTGCCAGCCGGGCACAAATATGGTTTTACCTAAATGTTGGTTTAGTTTTCCTTTCCAAAGAGAACTGATGGCCAGGTGCAGTAGCACACACAGTAACAGCTCTTGGGAAGCCGAGGCAGAGGGTCACAAGCTTGAGTCCTGGCTTCATAGTGAGACCCTTTTTAAAAATGGAGGTGGGCCTAGGGACGTAGTTCAGTTGGGGGCATGTTTACCTGGTGGGCACAGAGCAGTGGGTCCAGTTCCCAGCACCACGGGGGCCAGGTGCGTGCCCGCGGTCCTACCACGTAAGAGGCGGAAACAGGAGAACACAAAAGTTCACGTTCATCCACGGTTCACAGCCTGAGGTGCATGAAGTTGTCTTTTAAGAACAGTAGGATATGGACAGTACTGAGTTAAACAGCTGGTGGGAAGGTGGGTGCCTAGCAGCAGGCAGACAGAGCCCAAGAGTAACTGAGTGTTCATTCAGTGAGAAGCACCCCAAGAAGTGTTAGGTCAGGGGTGGGAAGGAGGCCTCGCTGTCTCAGAAGGGGCAGAGTCAGCAAACACTGAGAGCACTGAGGTGGGTGACGGGCGTGAGACACGTGACTGAGGAGACTAGTGGCCAGCTGTCGGAGCTCAAGCTTGCATTGGAATTTACTCAGCACCACCTGGGTGATGGTGGCGCACACCTTTAATCCTGATACTCCAGAGGCAGATCTCTGTGAGTTCAAGGCCAGCCTGATCTACAGAGTGAGTTCGAGGACAGCCAAGACTACACAGAGAAACCCTGTCTCGAAAAAAACTAAAAGAAGAAAAGAAACGTACTCATCACCGAACCTGTGTCCCAGGTACAGCAGTGCCTGCAGGCTGCAGGGCTGGCCAGCGACCTCGACGCTGACTCTGGACTGACCCTGAGCCGGAGAGTCCGCCGGGCCCAGCTTGCCCACTACAATTTTCAGTTTGGTAAGAGAGGGTTAGCTTTGGACCTCAGAGCCCCGGGCTCTGCATTCTCTGTAGTAAGTCTCGTTTGGCTCTGTGTACATTGGAGTAATTGGGGCTCATTACCTGGGCTGGGTAGGAGCCTGACTAACCTGCCTCCCTTCCATTGCTCCTTCCCACAACCTCTTCCATCCCTCAGAACAGTTTTCTTCTCATTCACCCTACCCTAGGACGTTTCTGTTAATTAATTATCCCAGAGTTAATTAACCAAGCCAACATCAGAGGGAAAGGAGCAGCAGAGGGGTAAGAAGGCAGTGGTTGAAGCCAGGCATGTTAGGCACACCTGTAATCCCAGGATTTGGGAGGATCAGTGGTTTGGAGCCAGTTTGGGCTATATATAGCAGGATTGTCAATAAACTGGGAGCCGGGCATGGAGCAAGCTCTGTGCTGGAGCACTGGAGCGAGAGTTTGATCCCAACACCAGAAAGCAGCCAGGGCATTAGTTAATTAGCCTTGTTTGTTGTGGTGTGGGTGGAGGCCGCTCCAGGGGCAAGAAAGGCCTTCAGGAAGGAAGTCGCTCCTGGCTTTGGGTCTCTGAAGGCAAGAAGCAGAAACAAACTCCCTTCCAGACCGCTGGCCGGGGATCACTCATGCCCCTTGCCTTGCCCGCGCTAACAGCAGGCTGTGCCACAGCCCAGCTCCCCTCCCTGGATCGCACCCCTCCCCCAGGTTACTCGCATAGGTTTTCTCTTGGTGTTTAGCTCTCCATCTGTTTGTCTTGGACTCTCCAGCCCTGGTCTCCTGACCTCCAGTGATAAGGGAAGTGGAGCCTGGACCATTTCCTCATCTCTGAATGGCCAGGCAGCAGCAGAGCAAGAAAACTAAATGTGTACTGCTTTAAGCCATGTCTGGGCTCTCCCACCCTTCCTAAAGATTCAGGACTGAAGTTTCTGCAAAGCAAAAGGAAATAGCCCGTAGGGTTAGGAAATAGCCGGGGTGTGCAATTCTTTCCTCTTCCTGCAGTGGTTGGCCAGAGAGAGCAGAGCAAGGGGACGGTGAACGTACGCACTCGGGATAACCGGCAGCTGGGGGAGCGAGGCCTGACGGAGTCTGTACAGAGGCTGCTGGAGTTACAGAATGCCAGGGTCCCCAATGCGGAAGAAATGTTCTGAGTCTTTGTTCACTGGGGAGGCATAGACTCATGAGAGTCATCTGTCCCTTACCATGGGGATCCCAACCCAACTGGCAGCCCAGAATGTCCCTGACTCCTCAGAACTGCCTTCCTGAAAATACACTTGGTTTGGGGGGTCCTGCATGGGAAGGAATGCCGTACTGTTTGCATGGAGGAAAATAAACAATAAACTTGAAGCTGAGCCTGTGTCTTCATCTGACTCCGAACGGGAAGGGCCTTCTGTGTTGTCTCCCTCTTATCCCAGAGTTAAGGAAAAGGGATGCTGAGGCCTCTGACCTTGAGTAAACTCCTCAGTGCCATTTCCCACTCCCATTCAGGAGGTGGTCAGATCTCTCTCTACAGAGGACAGTATTCAGGTGGAAAACTGAGGCACAAATTAAGGATCAAATATCAACTTGCTCCATGACTCTCTGTATCAGCTTTGGAGTCCTGTGAATGTCCCCCCCACCCCCTCACCTCCATTATTCCCCGTCTTCTAAGGAGGCTCCAGGATAAGTTTGGGAGGAGTGGCCGAGAGGAGGAGCAGCTGGGACTGAGTCATGGCAGGAAACAGGCGGCGGGCGGGAGATAGCATATAAAGAGACTGGCAGTCTTGGAAGCTGGCAGCAGCAGCAGTGAGGAGAGGCTTGCAGCAAGTGGTCCAGACCTCCACTACCCGGGACAGCCAGCTTCTGGTGGCCAGTGACCAGTCCTTGCCCCAGGATGGGGACCATATCCAGAGCAGCCTTGCTGTTGGCCTGCTTGGCCCTTGTTTCTGCCTCTGAGGGAGGTGAGTCGGGGTGGGGTCAGCAGTTGCTTAGGAGCCTGGCTCCAAACAGCTCATCACCAGTTGGCTTCTGAGCCTCCTTGTTATGAACGTGTTCATAGTGGGACTGGGGCACCTGAACCTTTAGTCAGGGAAGCCGGAGCAGGAGAGGGATGCCTAGAGATAGCAGCTAAGAAACACAGAAGTTGAAGTCAGACAAGCCAGGACAGGTAAATTTACAGGCTAAGGGCCTGGAGATGTCCGAGAGGGACTCTGAGGCAGGGGAGGAAGAAAGAGGGCCTCAGGCCGCTCAAAACCATTCTACTGACCCAGGGGGCCTTGACTGACTCACTGGTTAGGAGGCGAGCTAGGGTGCCCACATTCACCCTCTACTAAGCACATACACGCTGCTGGGAAGTCTGAGCAAACTGGAATGCCCACTCTGGACCCGAGGGAGACTTGGAGACTGTTGAGTAGATGCAGCCTGTGCCTGGCAAAGCTCCACCTCATGGTCCTGGTCCCTAGTCTGGTGCCTACAGTCCAGCTACAGACGCCCCACACCTAAAGGTGGCCCGGCGAGATGGCTCAGTATGTAAAGGCGCTTGCCAACAAGCCTGGTGACCTGAATTTGATCCCAGTAACGCACAGTTGTCCTGTGACCTACACACTCACTGTGACACACTGGCCCCTCTGCACATAGTAAGAATCTGAGACTAACTGGAGAAGGCGCTTAAACACTCAACTGGGCTCCTACCCGAGGCTTTAGGAGGAGTGTGGGGTCCATGACAGCTAGAGCAGTGACGGGGGGGGGGGGGGGGGGGGGGGGGGGGGGGGAGCAGGGGGGACAGCCACAAGCCCCAGCCAAGGGAGATACTGATGGGAAATGGACCTCCCTTCCCAGCCACATACACACTCAGGTTTTCTCAGAACCCAGCCCACTCACATCAAGGCTGGTGTGGGAGGCTAAAGGGGAGACATCCCACAGTGGTCTTTCTACACTCTCGGCCCCCATGGCCTTGCCATCCTTTGGTCAGGACAGGACCTCTCAAAACTGCCTCTGACTTGCTCTTCCTTCCTGCAGCCTTCAAGGCCTCCGAGCAGAGGGAGATGACGCCGGAGAACCTTTTCTTGCACCTTCATGAAGGTGAGAGCCTCCTGCCCCAGAACTAAGGAGGTCCAGCGGAGGTCCATTCCGGGTGGACGGCTGTAGTTCTGGGGGGAACGAGCAGGAGGTGGGGAGTGTGGGAGGAGCTATAGGTTCTGACTCTCCCCTAGGGCCCCTAGTGGGCTATGGCGCACCCCCTTCCCCACCACAAACCCGGAGACTCCGAATGGACCACATTGAAACTTCTCTGCATGAACCTCTCTTTGAGGAACAAAGGGAAGGTAAGGCCCCCACAAGGCCCTCTGGGTTGCCCTCCAGACCTGCATACTTCCTGCTCTTCAGGTGGGGAGGAGGGGACCCCCCTCCCCGCTGTCTGGCTAGGAGGGGTAGCCGGCTCACACTGCCCTTTCTGTAGTGCAGCCCCCTTCATCTCCAGAAGCGATCCCCGTCCAGGAGGAAGAGTGGCCTGCTTTCCCAAAGTCTGTACAAAGTAAAGGTGAGTGCGTTCCTCGCCCCTGCCCCCATCCCACTGTGATCTTGCTGACACTTATCTGATCTCCACACCCTGTGCCTTCACCCATCTGACAGTGGGTCCTCCTCTCCCTCTAGAGGCCATCCCCCTGCAGGAAGAGCAGCCCCCTCCCCAAGGCCCTGTCGAGCAGAAGGAAAGTGAGTGACTCCCTTGACTCCGGAGCACGGGTTTGGGAGGCCAACGGGGGGTAGGGGGGCTCTGCCACTCACTCACACCTGTGTGACTTTCCTGAGCCTGTCTGGCACACAGCATCGCCCTGGGTTTGGTCCCCAGCGCCACATCAGCTGGCTGTGGTGGCGGTTGCCTGTAATCCCAGCGCTTGGAGGAGGCATGAGCATCAAATGTTCAAAGTTAGCCTCAGCTTTTTACAGAGTTCAAAGCCACTCTGGAGTACATGAAGCCCTTTCTTTAAAAAAGCAGGAGGAGGGAAGGAAGGAAGGAAATAATGCTTATTCCACAGCTCTATGATTAGATGATATAGAATACCACTTGTTTTTTACTTACCTCTCTATTGAGTTCCTTCATGCATGGGAACTAGGAGGCGCCCATTTTCTGGAGGTGCCCATCCCAACAAGCCTTTTGCTTACACATCTCCTTCTACCCAAGTAGACCCAGCTGTCCAGCATCAGGAGGAGATAGTCCAGTCCAGTCAGAAAGAGGGTGAGTGACAGGATTTGTCTGTCTGTCCCTGCGCTTTAGCCCTCGGGCTTAGAACCCTGGAGGGAGGAGCAGGCCCCTGAGCCGGCCTGAGTGTGCCAGGCCCTTGAGGTTAGTTACCTTTCCTTTCAGTGACTGTGAAGGTAAGACGCCCAGAACAGCTGCTTGTTTGCCCCCCCCCCCCCCATGCTCCCAGCCCTTTCTGTTCAACCCAAGGTCTTCCCATCCCCCCAGCTCCCCCAACCTAGCATAGCCCTCCCACTGCTTGCTTTCCCTATTCTAGAGAAGCCAGCCCCCTTGGTGGGCCAGCGCTCCCCACAGCCTCAGTCTCGGAATCCAGCCCAGCACTGCCAGCAGGGCCGGAGAGGCGGCTGGGGCCACCGGCTGGACGGCTTCCCTCCTGGACGGCCTTCTCCAGACAACCTGAACCAGATCTGCCTTCCTGATCGCCAACACGTCGTCTATGGCCCCTGGAACCTGCCGCAGACCGGCTACTCCCACCTTAGTCGCCAAGGAGAGACCCTCAATTTGCTGGAGACTGGATATTCCCGCTGCTGCCGCTGCCGCAGTCAAACAAACCGCCTAGACTGTTTGAAGCTTGTGGTAAGGGTTTGACTGCTGGTGCTGGGGGTGGCCCTTAACCTCCAGACAGTGTGTACGTGTGTGTACGTGTGTGTGTGTGTAAGGGCTAGACACCTCACCCCGGGTACCGAGGAGCCGCAGTCCCTTTCACTGGCTCTACCTCAAAGACCCCAGTGTGCCCGGAGAGCACAGGAGAGCTATTTACCTGCCTAGGGTCCTTTCCTGGAACCCGGGAGGAAGGCAGGAATATGGACAGTGGGTTTCTGGGCTCACCCACCCCTCTCACTCTAGTGGGAGGACACAATGACCCGGTTCTGTGAGGCCGAGTTCTCTGTCAAGACCCGACCCCACCGGTGCTGTAAACAGCGGGGAGAGGGGCGATTCTCCTGCTTCCAGGAGGAAGCTCCTCGACCAAACTACGAGCTCCAGCCCTGCCCCGTCCACCAGACTGGCCTGTCCTCAGGGCCCCAGCTGCCTTTTCCCCCGGGGTTGCCCACTCCGGACAATGTCAAAAACATCTGTCTCCTGAGACGCTTCCGCTCTGTGCCACGCAACCTCCCGGCCCCCGGCGCCATCCAGAGGCAGCTGCAGGCCCTGACCTGGCTGGAGGTGGAGTTCCAGCTCTGCTGCCGTCCGGGCCACAACCACACCTGCGCACGGAAGGCCGTAAGTGGGCGTCCCAGCCGCCTCGGGAGCCTGTCTGCCTGCCCACCTGCCCACCCAGCTCCAACTGCTGACTCTACAGCCAGCCGCCCGTGTTCTTCCCCGTGAGCACTCCACGTCTGTCTGCTTGTGATTGTCCGTCCATCCGTTGTGTCTGTCGTCTGAGTCTGTTCACTTTGAGTCTCCGTGCTGCCGTCCTGGGCTCATCTACCTGTGACCCCACATCTGTCTGCCATCCATCCGTCCAGCTCTGGCCTCAGCTGACCCTCCGGGCCCACTGTTCCAGCTCATCTCCAGTGGCCATCTAGGAGTCTCATCTGTTCTTCCTTCCCACCTTCCCAGGCCCACGCATCCACAGCTGCCTGCCGGCCGGCCCTCTAGTTCCTCCCCCTCCCCTCGGGCCTCGGCTCACAGATGATAGTGATACGGTGTGGTAAGGGGAGCAGGGGCGGAGCCGGCTCTGACTTCTCTCTCTGTCCACAGTGGGAGGACACCCTGGACCAGTACTGTAACCGGGAGCTGGCTATAAAGACACACCCCCACTCCTGTTGCCACCACCCTCCCAGCCCTGCCCGAGACGAGTGCTTCGCCCGCCGGGCTCCCTATCCCAACTATGACCGGGATATCATGACCCTTGACCTCAGCCGAGTCACCCCCAACCTCATGGGCCATCTCTGTGGAAATGGAAAAGTTCTCTCCAAGCAGTGAGTCTTACTTAGATCTTCCCAACACTCTCCTATGTCCAAACCTCCTCCCTCCTGGGGTGCCCTTGGGGGAAACAAAACCATGATCTCCCAGTACCATTTGGGTAGTTTGGGGGCACTATTTATTTATTTTGAAAGAGTTTCACTCTGTGGTCAAGGCTGGTCTTGAAGGGAAACAATCCTCCTGCCTCAGTACCCCAAGTGACAGGATTACAGGCATAAGCCACCACCCCTGGCCCTGACAGCCTGTGGATGCTATGGCCTGTACAAGGCCCTGAGTCCCGCCTCTCTCATACCAACCACAGTAAACAGATTCCTGGACTGATCCAGAACATGACTGCCCGCTGCTGTGACCTGCCCTTTCCAGAACAGGCCTGCTGCGGTGAGGAAGAGGTGAGTGTGGAGGAAGGAAGCTCATGGCTGCAGGAGTAGGGGAGGAGGCCGGGGGAGGGTGCCCTTCTCTTTAGACCCTCAAACCTGCTCCCAGAAGTCAGCGGGTGTGAGGACTAGACCTCTCTTGGTGTTCCAGATGCCTTCCTTCCCGACTTGACCTATTATCCCTGCCCTGGGCCTCAAGCTGCTGGCATTTCCAGATGTGCACATCTGTCAGTCACTAGGAATCTTGCTGTACTAGGGGATTTTGCGCAGTCTCTGGGCCCCAGGAGGAAATCCAGTGGGCAGGCAGTAGGAGGACTTAGGGCCCCCAAGCCAACCTCCCACCACCTCATCCCCAGTCATCTCTGCTTCCCATTCCTTTTTCAGAAACTAGCCTTCGTGGAGGAGCTCTGTGGTCCCCGAAGGAACTCCTGGAAGGATCCTGCCTCCTGCTGTGACCTGGCTCCTGGGGATGAACAAGCCAACTGCTTCAATGCCAACTATCTGAGAAGTATGGCTTTAGTGGCTGGAGACACTGGGGATGCCACCAGACAGGAGGAGCAGGGCCCAACTGGAGGACCAAATGTCAGCTCCGCCCCTGGGTCCAAGGAAGAAAAATGAGTCACCCTGAGCCTCAGAGGATTAGATGGGGGAACCCCACCCTACTCCACCCTCTTGAACACTCATTACAATAAATGCCTCTTCGATTTGGCATCCTCATTGTCCTTAACGCACAAACACTCCCTCCTAAGCTCCCTAAGACTGGCCCAGTGCCCTGTCTCCAAGATGTTCCTCAGGCGGTGGGACCGTAGCCAAATGGCTTGACTTCACCTGTCATTGTGACCGTAATCAAGCATTTTAAAAGAACACCACCCCTGGAACTGGTTGCTGGGATTCAGAGTGAAAAAGATGTGGTCTGTGTTCTTGATGACCCACAGCCCAGCCTGACATTTTAATTTTGCTATTCTCAGGATGGAACTGGCATCTTGACAACTAATCATGTTCTTCCACTGAGCTATGACCCTATGCCCCCAGCCCAGGCTGTATGGTCTCTGAGTGTGTGTTTGTGAGTGTGCACATGTGCATGTAGGTATGCACATGTTTGGTGTGGAGGCCAAACGTCCAAGTCTGGTGTCTGTCTGTGTTCTTTACCTTACTGAGGCAGGGTCTCTCACTGAATCTGGAAGTGACTCAGTGGCTTCTTGGCTGACCAGTGAGCTCTGAGGATCCTCAGGGATCCACCTGCCCACTAACTACAGACCCACACCAGCACCTCTGACTAGAGACCCCAACGCAGCGGCACGCACTTACCATCTCCCAGCCCCAGCCTGGCATTTTAAATCTCTCTCAGTCCTTAAGAGCTCTCACTTTGGCTCATTGTCAATTTTCGGAACCCCTGTTTGTGATCATGTAAGCCTTAGGAAATACACATTTTACAAACACAGCCCCTGCCCCGGTCATTCACAGTCCAAGCACTTGTTCGCAGGTATGATGAGTGTTGTACATGTGGGCAGGGTGCCAGTCTGTTCTGAGCAGGACGAGACCTGAGCGGAGTGGGGTGGAGCTGGAGGCAAAGCTTCCACAGCAGAGAAGTGGAAGGGCCTGGGGGCCTGCAGGACCAGGCCGGGTGAGAGCCGCAGGCACCAACACCAAGGCCTTACTTATGCTGGTCCTCTTTGGCTAGCTGGAATGATACAAGGCCCCTGGGAGTTTCCAGCAAAGGATGCGCTCAAATTTGCTTTGGAAAATGTCCAGTCAGCAGCCAGCCAGGTAGGAATGCCATGTTCCCAGGCAAGGGGGTTGAACTCCAGCCCTGAGATGAATAGACAAGGGCAGTGCCGGGGACCTTCAAACCCTCCAAAGATGCCCCGGAACCCTGAACCTCAAGGCTGGGGATGAAAGAACACTCCTGGGGGAGGAGTTCCTCTGTGACCCCGGGTGGGAGTACGTCTTTCCAGAAAGACAGACTTCTGAGTCCCCGTTCTGGCAGAAAGGGTGAACCAAGACCGGTCATGCACCCTGGCTAGGAGTCAACCACACCAGCCGCTTCCTGCCCTGCCACAGCCTTCTATTTATTTTTTTGGTCAGTGGTTGTTCCTAAGCAACCGCTTAGCAGATCCTTCCTGTCTGTCAGCACTAGGGCCAATAAGCAGGCCATTGCAGCTCTTCGCCCCCCCCCCCCCAGCCCCAGTCCTGAGCTCAAGGGTTCCAGAACGCCTGCGCAGAAGTCCCATGCACTCTGACGGGAGGGAGGGAGTCGGGGAAACCGAGTCATACCCAAAGACACTCTGTCTTTACCCGGCTGTAGGGCAGCACCAAGTCGCGCAAAGTCCCGGCCGGCCCGCCGTGGTGTGTTCACAGTGCGGTTCACAGTGTGTTCACAGTGCGGTTCACAGTGTGTTCACAGTGCGGTTCACAGTGTGTTCACAGTGCGGTTCACAGTGTGTTCACAGTGCGGTTCACAGTGCGGTTCACAGTGCGGTTCACAGTGCGGTTCACAGTATGTTCACAGTGCGGTTCACAGTATGTTCACAGTGCGGTTCACAGTGTGTTCACAGTGCGGTTCACAGTGCGGTTCACAGTGTGTTCACAGTGCGGTTCACAGTGCGGTTCACAGTATGTTCACAGTGCGGTTCACAGTGCGGTTCACAGTATGTTCACAGTGCGGTTCACAGTGCGGTTCACAGTGCGGTTCACAGTGCGGTTCACAGTGTGTTCACAGTGCGGTTCACAGTGCGGTTCACAGTATGTTCACAGTGCGGTTCACAGTGTGTTCACAGTGCGGTTCACAGTGTGTTCACAGTGCGGTTCACAGTGTGTTCACAGTGCGGTTCACAGTGTGTTGGGAGGAAAGAAGGGAAATGGAAGGAATAGTAAGCAGCCACGAAGAGGGAACCTGATAAAGAATTAAGATAGAAGCTCCTTGTGAGCCTTAGTAACCAGGCGGTGAGTTTGGACAGCATGAAGTGGGGTGCTGTTACCAAGGAAAAGGGGAAGTGTTAACTTTACAGCAAGTAGATGTAAAAATAAACTACTAAGATAGAATTTAAACCGGGTGGTGCCGCACGCTTTTAATCCCAGTACTCGGTAGGCAGAGGCAGGTGGATCTCTGAGTTCGAGGCCAGTCAGCCTGTTCTATAGAATCAGTTCCAGGACAGTTTCACAGAGAAACCCTGTCTCAAAAAATCAAAAACCAAAAGAAAAAAAGAGTTTAAGTTTATGGCAGACACAGGAATCAGAGCTTCTGAGAACTGAACTCCACAGCGCAGTTAAAGCTTAGGTGCTGTGGAGATGGCTCCGTGGCTAAGAGCACTGGCTGCTCTTGCAGAGGACCTGGGTTTCATCTCCAGCATCCACATGGTGGCTCACAACTCTGCGTCGGCAGTTCTAGGGAATCCCAAGCCCTCTTCTGGCCTCTGCTAGCACTAGGCACATACAGGCAGGCGGACAAAACACAGAATTAATCAATCTTTCAGGAACTACAAAAATAATAATAAACAAGTTCAGATTTTTGTTGGGAGGGGTTGGAGAGATGGCTTAGCGGTTAGGAAAACCCGAGTTGGATTCCCAGGACACAGGCAGCCTGCAACTACAGATCCTGGGGTCCCATCCACCCACCAGCGCCTGCACACACAGCAGACATGTGGCAGACAAACAATTAAAATAAGAAAAAAGGAACTTGGGAGGCAGAGGCCAGTGGATCGTAGTCAGTTTGAGGCCAGTCTGGTCTACATAGTTCCAGGACAGTCAGGACTACATGAGCCCCTGTCTCAAAATAAACAAATGAATAAATAAATATCTAAACCTGACTGGAAGAAAAGCATCAAAAGAAATCAAGTGAGGCCAGGGTGGCGCACGCTTCTAATCCCAGCACTCAGGAGGCAGAGGCAGGTGGATCTCTGTGAGTTCGAACCCAGCCTGGTCTACAGAGCAAGATCCAGGAAAGGCGCAAAGCTACACAGAGAAACCCTGTCTCAAAAAAACCTTAAAAAAATGAATAAATAAAATGCCCCATAGATATGGCCACAGGCTGACCTGACTGAGACACTCTCATTTGACGTTCCCTAGTCCCAGATAACTCTTGGGTGTGTCAAGTCGACAAAAAGTGAACAGCAAACCTGGCAAGTGGCAATGTGTGACAGACAGGAAGAGGTGACCCGTGGAAGGGGTGACCCAGGGAAGGGGAGCAGCTCAGAGGGGTTAGTAACCCTTAAGAGTCCCCCGGATTCTGTATTAATGATATAGAAGAAATAAGGAGGGAATGGGGACAGCCAGCATGGTGTAGTCCCAGGTACTCAGGAGGCTGAGGCAGGAGGATTATGAATTCAAGGGCTCTTTGGGCTATGGAGTGAGTTTAAGACACACGGAGGAACCTTAGACTCTCCAAAGTACCACAGGAAGGAAACATGGTGGCCCGTGCCTGCATCAATACACTTGGGAGGTTGAGTGTGCGAGCATGTGTGTGTGTGTGTGTGTGTGTGTGTGTGTGTGTGTGTGTGAGAGAGAGAGAGAGGGGGGGGGTAGGTAAGTCTAGAGAGAGATGGCTCAGTGGTTAAGAGCACTGGCTGTTCTTCCAGAGGACCTGGGTTCAATTCCCAGCACCCACACGGCAGCCCACTATCATCTGTAACTCCAGTTCCAAGGGATCCAATGCCCTCTTCTGGCTTCCATGGATACCAGGCATACATGTGGTGAACAGACATATATGCAGACAAAACCCGTAAAAAAGTTGAATTACATTTTTAAACTTTATAAAATAGTTATAAGTATGTGTGTGTTCTCCAGGACAGCCAGGGTTATACAGCAAGATCCTGTCTCAGAAACAAAACAACTTAAAAGCACCATCCAGTTGTATATCCACACTTCAATTTGAATAACTCGTTAAGTTCATCTAAGCCACAGTTATCTATCCCACTAGGTTTACAGGAAATTAGTTTCATGTCTTCTAGGTGGAAACAGTGGATGGGGCTTCCATGAGCCTAAGCATACAGATCTTTGTTTCAAGAGAAGATCTAGGCTTAAATTTGAATAAAATTCATTTTTTATAATTAAAAAAACATTGTGGCTAAAAAAAAATGGTAACAATCATCTGAACCATTGGAAGACACAGTACCTGTGGATGTGAGATTCACGGTCCAGAAACCACAAATTAAAAAAAGGTATATATGAAATGCAATAAAGCAAAGAACAATAAAATGGCCATAAAATAATAATAATATAAAAATAAAGCCGGGTAATGGTGGTGCGTGCCTTTAATCCCAGCACTCGGGAGGCAGAGGCAGGTGGATCTCTGAGTTCCAGGACAGCCAGGGCTACACAGAGAAACCCTGACTTGAAAAACAAAATAAACAATAATATAAAAATAAAGAGGGGGGAATGGTGGCCCATACCTTTAGTTCCAGCATGAGAAAGACAAAAACTGGCGTATCTTAGTGAGTATGAGGCTAGCCTGGTCTACAAAATGAGTTTCAGACAAGACAGGGTACACAACAAAAGCCCATTTCAAAACAAAACAAACATGAAGGAAGAAAGGAAGGAGAGAAAGAGCAGAGAATGAGAATGAGACAAAGGGAAGAGACCCAAGGGTCGGTGGTGTGGCCCAAGCATTACATCTGCATGAGGCTGGTGTTGACGGCTGGAGCCCCCCCAACACACACACACAAACACACACACACACACACACACACACACACACACACACACACACACACA